ATACAATATGTAAAAGGCATTGCGCATCTTTTGAGACTATTGTAATGACAAGACTGAACGTTTTAAAAGTTTTGTAGACATCGCGACGTCTCTAAAAACTGAAATAAATGAAAATAATTGAGAATTTACGTCTTTTAATAACCCAAGTCTGACCCAATACCCAAACCCAAGTCTCAGACTTGGGTTTGGGTTTGTAACATACCTATACAGGATACATTTGTCAAAAAGATTTTAAAATTATTTCTAACACAACTTAGAGCAGTTTAAAATGCACTAAATTATTTTAACTGGTGTATACCCTATTTCGTGTAGTCGAAAACTATATGCTCTTACTTTAGTCAATACGGGTTAACATAAAAGCATAGACGAAAGTTGTGAAATAGGGATATGAAAAGAGTATGAAATACTGATTTCAAATATCGTAAAAACATATTGTACTTGCTCTAATTTAAATAAAAATTCTTTTGAAAAGTGATGGATTATTTTTGCGAAATGTGATGCATCTATCGATAATGCTCTTGAGATATTTCCATTTCTGACTTATCTCACAACATGTATTCTGAAATAACAACTCTAAATACTTCTCAAAGAAAATCAAAAAATGTTAAAAATCATTTCTCATCATATCAAGATGAATCAAATTTAAGGGCCCCCCCCATGTTACAAGCATTTTCCTAGAAGTTCTAAAATTGAGTATTTCATACAGCGTTTTCTCTATGTAAGAGTTACACCTGAAGTATTTCCCAAGATTTATTATAGCGGTTTGTCCTAGCGAGTTTATTCTTTTTTTGTTTAGAAGAGGAAAAGAAACTACATCGTCTGACCGGCGTCGATTTTTGAATTAGGTCTTAGTTTTTTATAAAATTAAGGATTTTTAGAAAAGCCGGAAGGTTTTTTCGGGTTTTGGAGGTTGTTTATGAAAACTTTTGAACATTGGATGTACGGTGTCGGAGATAATTTCTGAGCTGCAGGCGGGGTCTTCAGACGTTGCCAATAAAGGGCATGTAGCAAAAGAAACAAGAGGATAATAATTTTCAAGATACGATGTAACATAGACGGGCCAATCTGTTGCTTCGATTGTGTTCACCTGCAATAGAAAAATTCTTGAAAGGCATCTGTAACGGAAATACATCTTTATAATTCTTCAATAGATCATCTACTTGCTTTCGGACGACTCTGGCAGGGACACCGTCATTGTCGTTGGGTGTTGTACAGGTGGTGTGGGCGGCGATAGAATCAAATGAAACTTTTATAAGAAATATTTCGGCACATCTTGTGAGTGCAGATGCACCGATCAGAAAGTTTTCACTATTGTTACCATCATTCATTGCTGTTGTTGATCTAATAATAATTCTTTGGTCGTCTTAGTTAATTATTAGCACTCCAGTTTTTTCCCGTTAACTGATGGGTTATGTTTGAACAATCATGATCTACCTAAAATAAAATCATAGTGTCCTCCTAATGGAACCATATTACCCCATATTTTATCTTTAAACTTATCAATCTGTAAATCAAATGTTGTTGTCGTTCTTGTTGTCTCTGACGCTCTACCATCCGCTACACTGACTGATATTCTATGAACTACATCTGTTTCAATACCATGTTTCTTAACAAACGCATCGGAAATAAATTCATGCGTGGCACCACAATCTAATAATATTCGTGCGTTTTTCGCATTAATTGTGTCGCCGAATATGATTCATAGAGCATCAGCACATTCAATTTCAATAAAATTGAATGTGCTTGTATAATAATGGTAATTCTGGAGTGTCCGAATCTACATTGGCTAGCTCAGGATACAAGGTGATATGAGTGCGAACGAACCAGGCATTATTTTTATTCTCCTCCACCGACGGAATCGTATATTTCCGATTGTTATAATTTGGATCAGTGGAACAAGGAAGTTTGGTTTGATACGTATCAGGTAGTTTTGCAAGCACATCAAATGCAGCCAAATTATTAACTAACAACTTCGACCAAACAGTGATTTCCTCATCACTTTGAAATGTAATTCCAATTTGTGCAGCCAATGATTTTAAATCTTCACTATTGGGCTTCCGAATTTCACTTGATTCATTCATTCAAAGTTTGACTAGAAAGGCCTAAAAAGGAAAGAAATTATATGACGGAATATCGGGCTTTCAGGCAATCCGAGCAACTCGCGTGCTTGCCAGTGTCATAACAAAGATGACATGCGTTTCCAGTCTAGGAAACGCCGTTAGGTTACTGATCTTATTTCGTGATCTCATCGACGTACAAAATTCGTCTACATTCTTGCTAGTGAAGCGTATGAACGAAGCCAGTAGAAACATAACACATCGCAATTGACATACCTTGTTGCACTGCTTTTCCTGCAGCTCGATTCGACAAGGTCCTTTTCGGGCACAGGTTATTCTTCTATTTATCTTAATCCGTCATCAAAAACGAGAGCACGAACTATCCAACGAGACAAATTCTTCCGTGGTTTGATTTGAATTAGTCATTTTCATGGTGATCTGATCTGCAAGCTTTTTTCGCAACCAAGATGACTCGGAACTGTTAACGTAGGTCATAATTGGAAACTGAACGTTATTCTTCATTCTACATTTATTCTTCATGAAGAACACACGTGTGTAGTAAGGAAAGAAAAAGACATCTATATAGTCTAGTAAGTTTGAAACATGAATCACGAATTCGAAAAGAGCTCAAAAAGAAAAAAATCATCAACGACAATTTCACTACCATCTTCACCAACTGATTTGCAATCAACCATCAAGGAAATTCTAAGAACTGAAACATTTGTGAAAGAAATACATGAAAAATTACTTTCATCAGAATTTATAACAAATCTATGTAGATCAATTGTAGAATCAGATGTGTTTATTCAAACAATTACAACTTTAGTTGATAATAAATTAAATGTGTATGAAACAAAATTGAGTGTATTAGAAGAAGAAAACAAACAATTGAAATCACACATTCATTCAATACAAGTCAACGTAAATGACATGGATCAGTATTCTAAAAGAAAAGATGTGATCATTACAGGAATTCCACAGACACCAGAGGAAGATACAACAAAATTAGTCATTAATTGAGCTAAAGAAATCGGATTTGATTTAAATGTAAAAGACATCTATGCCAGTCACAGATTACCATCCAAATCTCAACCAAACCCAATTATCGTCGGCTTTCTTAGATATACGGATAGAACAGAATTGCTGAAAAGACAGTTGAAAGATGTGAATGGTTATCAAAAAGTATATATTAATGAACATTTGACAAAGCTGAATTCGGATCTGTTCCATTATGCACGACAGAATTTACCAAAACATAATGTTTACACTCGTAACGGCCAATGTATATTTCAATGGGAATGGATCAACTCAAAAGTTAGTAACATTTAGTCAGATAGACATTTTAGTAAGAGTTTGAGTTAAGAGAACTTTCTCTGATCGACAAGTTTTTGGTTTCTGTGGACTTATTATTTATTCTGTCTTATTCTTTTGTTTAGGAGGTTAGCCGCTATAAGGTTATATAGAGTTGTCTATTCTTTCACTTTACCATATCTATCAGGCTGGCCAGATCTTCTGATTTTTCAGAAATTTTCTGATTTTGAACACTTTTTCTGATGGCTTTCTGGTTTCTGATTTTTCTGATTTTCATTTCTTCTGTTTCAAACGTGCTAGTTCGTTCTCATATGAATGCCCGAATTATTATTATTGATACGATATTATCCACATGATATCTATCTACATAAAACGATAATACAGTTCAATAAAAGGACTGATAAATTATATGTTGAACGGAACATGTTTGTCTAGTTGCCGCATTAAATCCACTTTCTGATTTTTTTCTGATTTTCCAATTTTTTTTTCTGATTTTGAATTTTTTCATCTGGCCATCCTGATATCTATACACATTGTTCTAAATATATGCTCCTCCTACTTCATATGTCAACAGAAACGTTTTTCGTTCTTTTTCTTTTTTCGTACACTCTTTGCGTGTGTATTACTGTAGTATTATGGACTGCAGTCAGCTTTTTTCTTTTTTCTAATTATACTTACCCTTACGTCAATTCTTTACAAAGTAGTCCAACATGTAAAATCAGAAGAAAAGAGATTCACACATATGCCCGGTCAGATCACATTCATCTCAAATCATTTTTTCTAGTCAATGAACATCAATGACAAAAGAGCAAGTGTTAGTTCGAACAGTAAAGAGAGTTGTGGTTTACTTTTAAACATAAGAAGCATGTTTTTTTCAATTAAAAAGGACTCTTCTGTTTCAAAGTACGAACTGTTACGAGAGTATATATGAGGGCTTGATGCACTTTTTGTTGGGGTAGTAGAAACATGGTTAAATAGTAAAATTCAGACATCACAAATTGACATACCGGGTTACAAAGCTTTTAGAAATGATCGGGACACCTTAGGTGGAGGAGTTTTACTTTATGTAAAAGAAAATCTTATAACAAAGCAAGTAGCAGAAATTAAGGACGAAAAGTCAGAATGTATTTTTGTGAATAGTATAGTACCAGGTATTGGAAATGTTTTAGTTTCTGTATGTTATCGATCTTCGAAAAGTATGGTTTACTTTTTAGATAAAGTAGAAGATGTTTTAATA